TTTTGGACGGATCCCCCGTCCCGACCACAACGCAAACTAAATACTTAGGGAGCATGATATCATGGCATGATTCATTTGGTACAGCCCTCAAGCATAGGGCGGCACTTGCAGAGGCCGCGTACAAAAAGCTAAGACTGGTGTGGAACAGCAATCTCTCCTACAGTAAAAAACTCCACATATTCCAGTCAGTATTTATTTCTATCCTCATCTACGGGATGGATGCCTTTACCTTAACAGACAAGCTTATCACTCGCATAGACGCGGTATACTTCAGGTTCCTCAGAAGAATTGTGGGGATAAAAGCCTCGTTTTACTCCAGGGTCAGCAACCACACGGTTTGGAGAAGGGCTTATTATCCGCAGAGGCCATCTGATCGTCTCAGTAAATTGCAGTTCAAGATGTTAAGGGACGTCTTCCAAGCTCCGATGGTAGACCCCCTACACAATGTGGTGTTCAGTTCAGCGTATAGGGATAAAATCCTAGTTAAGGGCAGACGCAGAGGTCGTAGTAGGGCGCACTGGTTAGAGACCACAACGCAATCTTACTACCCTCACCTATGGTCAACTCACCCTGGTAGCGGTATTCTAGGACCAAACATAGTATACGCACAGATAAACCGGGATTTGGAAGCAGCAGGGCAGGCGCCAATGCGCGCAAGACAGCGCGCACGGCGGTGACAAAAAATTGTGCAGAGGAGGATCCAACTTCAAATGCAAAAAGGCATCAAGAAGTTTGCTGCGGGCTTGAGTGGGCAGGAAATCAGGAAAGACTTCCCACCACGCCTTTCACGGGTCGGGCTTGAGGAGCACAGGAGCACAAGCAGCTGGGGGAAGCTCCCGAACTCCAACATACTCCAACTGAAAGCTGAAAAGCAGGCGCTTCATTCTAAATTGCTGTCCCGCTGTGGGGGCCTGGCGAAGAGAAAAAGGTTGGGCTCCTCTGGAGATTCGCCTCCGTTGGCAACTCGAACGCCTAGCAGGGCCTCACATCCCAATCTCACCTCATGCTTGCAGGACGAGTACGGAGGAACGACAGGTTTGATTACCCTCGAGGATGTTCTTGAAGAGTTCTTTGATTGCATAGCAGCAAGCTTTGAAGTTTTAAGGTTGCTCATGCCATGTCTGAGGATTGTTGGGGAAATCTATGACCCGGACGAAGAGAAGGATCGAGTCGAAAAGCAGCAGAACCGCGCAAAGATCCAGCAGTGGCTTTGCAGAGGCTATCCCTACCCTGTCAGTGTCTGCTAGCCTTTGCAAGCTTAGCCAGCTAGGACTACTGCGGAACCTGCAGAAGGGACAATAACGAGCACTAGAATCACTGAAAGCTGCAAGGCAACATGTTGCAACAGGAGGCTTCGTGATTTTGCTGGGAGAGCTTCTGGTCCCTGTTGATGCATCGTGTGCTAAGGATCGGTCCTGATCACTTCTCAATGAGTGGACTGGCTGAGAAGGGTGAAGTTGAAGAGGCATTTGGCATAAAAATGCCAGAAGGCGACTACAATTCAATTGGAGGGTTCATGTGCATGTCCATCGATCGCATCCCCGCTATTGGAGAAGCTGCAACCGTTGAGACGGCAGCGGAAAGAATACGCTTTGAGATCTCCAGTGTGGATGACCGCCGCGTGCTGCAAGTCGAAGCCTTCCGAACTTCCAAGGAGGCAGAAGAAGAGATGGAGGAGGAAGAGAAAGAGGAGGCCAGCCACGCTCTCAAGGCTTTAAAGCCTTTTGTCCCACCTGCATCTAGCATTGATGGGGCCTCTTTGCTGTCTGGATTAATGCCTTTCTAGGCTCTAGTGTCCAACGATAGTTTGACAGATGTGGATGGGCATTCAGAGTCCTTGCCAGGAGCAGGAAAAGAATCAAGTGATCTTTGTGGAGCTGGAGCTTGCTGAGCAACTTGCTGATGACCTGGCTCTGAAGGAAGAAGCGGAGGAAGAACTCTTAAGCTTGGATGTCCCATCTCTCCCAGCTAACAGTGTGACAGCGGCAAAGTCTCTCGTGGAGGCCCAAGTTGAGATCGTGGACCCCCCAGAGGGCGAAAGCCTGCTGGACATGGAAGCGTCAGTTGAGACAGTCGAGACAGTAGGCACTGGCCAAGCCAACAAAGGTTTGGAACAGGCCGTGAAAGCCAAAGCGATGGCGCCAGACACAAAGAGGTCTGTGGCTGCCAAAGATGAAGCGGACGCGGCGGACGCGGCGGACGCGAGCCAGCCCGGAAGGGATACTGCGGAGCCTGTGGAAGCGAAGGAGACGAAGGACCCCATCCTGGATGGGAAGGCTGTAAACCCTGATGCAGGAGCTCAAAGAGGAGTCCAGCTTCCCAAGGATGCCCCTCCAGCAAAAACGCAGGAAGGGTCTGTTGAAGGACTGGGAGCTGATGAAAGCTGATTGGCCTTCCCTGTTCCTTGCTGGCTCTCGCGCGCAAATGCTTGGGTCCACCATGGTCCACCAATGTTGCTGTTGATTTCAGAATTGCCTGTACAAAGTTGCAGCCGTTGAATGCTGCCATGGTCATACATTTCCACTAGTTGCACCGAACACTGGTGATACGCCGACAAGAAGCGGTGCAAAATGAGGGGCATCTGCTTGGTCGAGATCGTGGGCACCGAGAAAGCTTGAAAACTAGGATTTGAAGCGGATGAAAAAGAGCAAGGCAGCTGCGCGAAGGCGAGGCGCTGCGCTTACCAGAGTAGTTCCCAGCACTAAAGGCGTCGCAAACCAAGTGTTCTTGCACCCGTCTTGCAGGCCTGGCCGGCTGGATGCATTTTCCTTGAATGCCTGGGCCCTAAAGTAAGCATCATCCAAGATTAAGATGATCACGAAGCCCTCGTTTCGAGCATGCGGAGGTTACAGCAGCCGTGTTAACGTTTTGCGCAGTTAGCAGCTCTTACTTAAGTCACGGGATGCAGAAAACTCTGGGCTTCGGTCGTGCTAACCATGACAGCTGCATTCAACGGATTTCTCGTGTTTGATAGCCTGCAGGTTTGAAGCACTTTCTTGTCTGCTCTTGCAATGTCATGCGCTCCGATTAGTGCCATAAACCCTTGTCTCACACGTTCAGTATTACAACAAAGCTGCATCCCTTGGTGACCCAAAGAACTGACTGTGCGGCGGCAGGTCCCCTCGAGCGTGTTCGACTTCTGTGCAGCCATTTTCCCTAGGTGGAGGTCTACGTGAAGCCTAGCAGCCATGAGCCGG